AGGGGTTGAAGGGAGGGCAGGGGAAGGGGGAAAAAGAACCAAGAGAGATTATGTAAATGTGCATATCTCCAATAATGAATGTCATTATGTTCTACACCTAAAATGTACCAATAAACAGATATAAAAAAAGAGGAGTGGTGAGATTGTGCACCTTCATCTTGTTCCTTATTTAGGACAAAAGCTTTTGTTTTTGGTCATTAATATGATATTGTCTATGGATCTGCCATGAATGGTGAAAATCCTTCTCTACTTATTCTTTTCAGGACGTTGTTTCACTATGAAGATTTAAAGTGTAAAAAGTAACCTTCATACTGCCAACTGATCCAAGAAATCTTCATCATTTTAACAGGGAAGACTGAGTTCTTGGTTTTAAATGTTGCAATATTCATTCTAAGGTTAACTTTAACACACTTTATACATCATTTGATGCAATTTTAGTAAGTCTGAAGATGACACATAAAATTTATTTTAAGAAATTGCTCTTTCACTGCCTTCTACAACTTTGTAATATTCTCTTAGACTCTCTGTTAGTCTTCCTCTGTGCCACTGTGGAACAGTGCATCATTCTAGGTTAGGGCAGAAATTACTCTTTTTGCCACTCAATCAAAACACATTGTCCTATGTAATATATTCCTTGGCAAAAAGCATGTCTTTCCTCAGAGAGAGTTATTTCTCTTACTATTTTTACTTTTATTTTTCTCATATTAACAGAAAACTTTAACCAGGCATTATAAATTGCTTTGTATCAGCAATTTCTACATGAGAAACCCTTGAAAAATTCTAGAACAATATATTTTATATTGTGTATTATACCAAATTTATCATAGAGCCTCTTAATTTAATGTTTTTTGTTCTGTCTTCTGACTGGATACATTTAAATGATATTTTGGTCCTCTGATTTATTTTATAGTTGATCATAAATAATGACTTTTGTGTGGTAAGTTTTATAACTCTTTCCTGTTCAACTGGATGTTGTGCTTTTAGTGATGCATTGGTTTCTAATCTCTGTGGAGAAAATGAAGCTCTTAAATAGGTCTTGATAGTGAATAATAAATGAAACTGGTCAGTACAAAGCATGTGCCTGGTACCAAACATAAGAAATCAAATATAGTAATGAATTTATCAATAGGATTCCTAAGCAAGGAAGATGAATATTAATGTAGTGGGTGCAAAAGATACTCAATGAAAATAAAATTTACAACTAAATTTTCATAGCCTGTTTCATGTCAATTTTGCATATGTCCACTTAATGTTCAATTTGAAAGTTTACTGTTAATCTAAAGTTGTTATTTAATTTTTGATGCTGTTTTATATTCATATTTTGATTGCTCTGCCAAACATATTAATTTTAAATATTAAGTCACCTAAATCTTATGTGACAAAAAAAGGGAACAAAATATTTTTATAAATGTAATGTTGGAATTATATATTTTAATGATTAACTTATATGAAATAAACAGTCAAATGACAATGGTTACATACCATGAGTGATTCAGTAAAATTCCACACAAGGTCAATTTCTACTGAGAAAAGTATGAAGAACTGCTAAAGCATATATTTTGAAGGCAGAACTGAATGACTTACTAGTATGACATAAAAGGGAAAAAACATTTTGTAGATTTTTGGTTTTTGCTTTGAAAGTGAAGAAAAACTGGGAAGGAAGTTTGTGTTGTTGAATCTAGAATTTGGTTTTCAGAAGGTAATGATGAATCATTTTATTAATTCATTGAAACTAAAATGTCATACAAATGGAATTCATAAAACATGACAAGATTTTGATACATAAATTATACATACATTTTTATTGCAAGGAAGAGAAATTTGAAAATATCCTGATTATTAGATGTAGCCATAGAAATTTTATAGCATATCAGAAATATAATATTATTACAATTATAAATAGACATTGTATTTCTTTTCATGGTACATCTGCTGAAGTATTTAGGAATAAATTGTTGTTTCTGTAAACTACTGTCAAATGCTTCAAAATAGAGAAAGGATGAATAATGTATGATAAATGAAACCATATTGAATGAAAGCATTAAATGAAACCATTATAGACTATTTATAAACCTGCATTCCACATTATCATACTATTCAGTGAATATCTCTGTACTATTATTTTCATGAATTATTAAAACAAATATTTAAGTGAGGATCTTGAAATAAAATATTGGTGTTAGTTGTTACTAGTTGATAATTATTGCACTGACATGTTAGGACTGTAGAGGAAATAAGTGTAACGCTGAAGATGGGTGGGGCATGGCAGGTGGGGGAGAGGTGGCTGGGGAAAGTGTCTGACCTGGTGACACTGGAGCATTGGCTGTGGCAGCATGGAGGGCACCGTGGTTGATGCTCACACTGCATGTGAGTAGGAATCCTAGTTCGTGGGATGTCACCAGGGAGCCAAGGCAGACAGCATCAAAACTCTGGGAGCCAAAGGACTTGGTGCCTGTGCCTCCTGCCTAAGTGCACAGCTCCAAGGTGAGAGTACTTGCTCCTCACACTCAGCATTGTGAGTACAAGCAAAGGCTTAGATGTCCATGACTGCCCAAGGCACACAGACTGATGTTCTGGAATCCATGGTGGTGGGTGTGCACCACCTCTGCATGTGACCCACAAAACACTGAAGCTATGTGTGTGAGGGGCTCAACATGGTCTGGAACTTTGTCATCTTCAAAGTTCACAGGCTGGCACATATAGCCCAACTGAGTACCACTCCCTGCAGTGTGGAGAGCTGCCATGCCTGCAGGTTCATGGACTGAAGACAGAGGGTTGAGTGCATCCTGTCCCCTCACTGTGGCCCTTTAACACTGAGCCTCTGCTTGGCAGAGGGCTGGGCAAGGACATGGATGTTTGCTCTGGACCCTTGTCCAGCCCATAGAGCACTGACTGAGGTCGGCAGGCCAATATGTGCTGCCTCCTGGCACAGCCTGTGAGATGCATTGCTGAGGCTTGGGCATCTGTCCCATCCCAGGCACACAGACTGGAGTGTGCATGCATACAAGTGGGCAGCCTGCTCTGACCCCATGGAGTGCTGCAGCTCTGTCAGTGAGAGGCCTGCTGTTTGTCAGACACCTGTCATGCCTTTGAGCACACACTGAGAGCTTGAGAGGTAGTTATTGCACAACCAAGAGCCTGATCCACTCACCTCTCCAGGAAGAATCTTTTATCTCCTCACTTTATCCATCTTTTCCATTGTTTCTTAACTTTGTTATTTTTATTGCTTTATTTATACTTTAAAATTTTTATATTATACTTTAGTAGGATATTTTCCCTCTCTCCCACCACTTGTAGTGCCTTATGATTCCTATTTTGAAAACAATTTTACTTTATCAGTTTTTAACCTTATACTTCATTCTACAATATTTTGTATTCTTGTTACTGTTAACTCAATTGTACATTTTACAGCTTTGTTGCTGTAGTCTGTAGTTGCTTCTTTCTTTATATTGTAGGTGCTGGTGTTATTTGTTTCTTCCCCCTGAATGGAGCAGGAGACCCAGCAGGAATAGGAAACACAGTAGTGGGTGCACTGCCATTGAGCCTCACCACAGTCCAGGACCAAACCCAGACCTCCTCCCAACCACAGCCTCATCCCCTGCAAACCTCAGCACCTGAGGAAGAGAGGCGATCAATGCCCCAGCCAATACTTCCCCAAGTAATCATGGCTAAGGAAGGCCTATAGCCCCCACTCGTGGGCATTCACCCTATCAGCACAAGTTTTGGGGACTCCATGCCTAGCAGGGACTTAGGCATAGATAATACCTGCCAGTGAAGACATTATTGGACACCAGAGGACTGACCAGAAAGGAATGGCTCCACATAACTACTCTCTACAGTACACTTGGATGACTTAGCAGGGGGCCCTCACACTTCTTATACCTTCGGAATGAGTTTGTCTCCTCTGGCTTCAACAGAGTGTGCAGCACATCAAAGCTCAGCACCGCAGAAGGAGGGGACATAGGGAAATCAAAGTGCTAAGTTAATATATATGTTACTGCTTCTGTGATGTCCCTCCAAAACTCATGCAGTCATAGGTGAAACATTTTCAGAGGTGGCTGGATCTGAAGTTTGTGGGGCTGGGAATGATTCATGGCTCAATACTAGGCTCAAGGGCACTAGGATCAACGGTGTGATTGCTGCCTGACCTAAGTAGTCTGGATAAGGCAAAAGAGGCAGAAAGATATTGTTGTTGTCCCTTGTTGCTTTGCTACCTCTATTTGTCATGAACTGTTGCCCCTCTGCTATGTGCTACCCTGCCTTGGAGCCAGGTGATTATGGGCTGAAACTTCTACAAACTGTGAACTAAATAAACTTTTCCTTCCTTAACTTGTGGGTGTCAGGTATTTTGTCTCAGTAACAAGAAAAGTAACTAGGACAGAATTGGTACTAGAGATGTGGGGTCATGCTGTGATTATATCTGACCCTGTGGTTGAGGAGCCTTTGGGGCTGGCTTATGGGAAGAGTAGGGAAAGTTTGGGAGATGCCCACTGAAAAAGTATAGCTGGAACACTTTAGGGTGTACTTGATGGGAGATTCTGGTCCTAGGTCAAAAGACAAGAGACTGACAGAAATCCTGCTAGTAAAGACCCAGCCCAGGAAGTTTCTTCTGGGAAGAAGGACCCCATTGGCTGTTGGGCTCCAGAGGATATGTGTTATACCTTGGCAGAAAGTTTGTCTGCATTTTGCTCATGTCCAGAGACTCCCTGAGACTAAGATTAAGGGAAGTGGACTGATTAATCTTGCAGCAGCAATTTCAAGGCAGTCTCATATTGAGACAGTGGCATGGCTACTGGGGGGGGGGGCTTTTAGCCAGATTTATGTTGAAAGTCAAGACCAAAGAGGCTAGCTAACACAGTGACTTAAAATGTTTTGAGTTTGGCCAAAACTCAAGTTCAAGTTTGGCCAGGAAGCTTCAGTAAAGCTGTGGACTGTAAAGATAGAGCAGAGGAGATCTTGATTGCTGAGAAGGAACAGGAGAATAGATAAGATGGCCTGAGGACATCACAAGAGAAGCAGGGCTCCATCTTTTGCAGCCTCAAATTTGAAAAATTGAAAGACTGCTTTGAGAAGAGAGTCCTAGAGCACCATGTTCCAGAATGTCAGGGGCCTAGAGGTGTTCCTGTGGATTTGGTTCACAGGCACTGAGCCCCTACAGCTGAGAGAGAAGGAAGGCTGGTAATGCTCCAACTGACAGCAGACTTTGGCATCATCCATGTGGCACTGTTTTTTGGTGCATGCAGAATGCAAGATTTGTAGGGTCAGGAAGGCCCAGATTTCAGAAGAAGGCCTGGGAGGCCAGGCAATGTGCCCCTGAGAAGGCAGTGTGTGAAGCTGTAAGGGTAAAGCCAAAGACACAGTGGAGACCCCAGAAATTTGGAGAAGCCAGGGATGTGGATCATCTAAGAAAAACTGCAAGGAAGGAGAGAGCTGGCCCGAGATAAATCATGGCAGCTACAACCACCAGAATTGCCTTGGTGGAGCCACCCTAACCTTTGGAGTTCACAACTTCCCACAGGCCAGGAAAGCTAATGTGTGCCCTGCTAGATTTTGGTCTTGCTTTGTTCCCATTCCTTGTTATACCTGCTTGTAACTTTTGAAATGGAAATATCTATGTTGTGTCTTTAAGTGTTGGAAGTGTTTAACTCTCTTTTCATTTGTACAGGGGCTCACAACAAAAAAAAGTTTGCCCTAAATTTCAGAAAAGACTTTGGACTTGGTATTTTCAGCAATGCTGAAACTGTTAGGACTTCGGCACCTCTTACAGATGGAGTAAATACCTTTTGCATAAAAGAATGTGCATGAGTCTTTGGGAGACCAAGGGTAGAATGTTATGGCTTATGTGTAGATGTTCCCCCAAAGCCTCATGCAGTCATTGGTAGGGTTTTTCCAGGTGTGGTTGGATTGAGTGTGTGACACTGGGATTGATTTTTTTGTGAAATGCTAGGATCTAGGGCACTAGGAATAAGGTTGTGACTGTTACTACCTTAAGAGGTCTGCATAAGATATAAGGGATAGAAAGAGCTGTGGTCATCCCTTATTGTTTTGCTGTCTTATGTGTCTGCCATGAACTGTTACCACTCTAATGTTTGATACCCTTCCTTAGAGTCAGCCCATTATGGAATGAAACCTCTACAAACTATGAGCTAAATAGTCCAGTCATCACGTAACTTGTCGGTGTAGTGTATTTTTCCTCAGCAATAAGAAAAGTAACTAAGACAGCATAATTGACACTAATAACTCTCAAAAAGTGATACCCAGGGCTGGGATTTAGCTTAGGGGCACTGCACCTACCTTGCAAGTACAAGGTCCTGAGTTCAATTACAGGTAACAGAAAAAAAAATGATACCCAGCACACACAGTTTGGAGAATGAGATTTCCTCACAAGGCTCCTTCATAAATGTAGAAGAGATTCTCATCCAAGTAGATGTGAAAATCTCAACATAGAAACTCAAGAGCAAAAGAAAACAAAATACAAAATGCCTTCATAATTCAATCAGTAGCTTTTAAAATGAATGAAATTTTGTACATGTAATTTTAAAATAATTCTAAAAGTGGTCAACAAATTCAATGAAGATAAAATAAAAAGCTGAATTAATTGAGGAAAAAAATACAGGATATAAAGGTTTCAATAAAGAGGTAGAGATTCTCAAGAAAAACCAAAAAATATTTATAAATGAAAAGCTTAACTGAGCGTGGTGGTGCATGTCTGTGATCCCAGTGTTTGGAATGCAGTGGCCAAAAGATTGCAAGTTTGATACCAGGTTGTGTAATTTGGCAATTTAGTGAGTGAGACTCTGTCTCAAAGTCTTTTGAAAGGCCTAGAGATATAGCTCACTATGAAGGCCCTGTGTTCCAACTCCAGTGTTGAAAAAAAAGCTCAGTAAGTTAAATAAAAAATTCAGTTAAAAATATCAGCAACAGACAAGATCAAGCAGAAGCAAGAATAATCAAGCTTAAACACAAGGCGTAACCACCACCACAACAACAACGACAACCACCACCACCAACATAATAATAATAATAATAATATTTGTGGAACATCATAAGAAAACAAAAGATAAAACGAACAGCACTCAATGAAGAAGCAGAATAAACATGGTTTAATGATGTAGGAAACCTATTTGATGGACTTATATCAGAAAATTTCTAAAAC